CATCGCTCAACAATGGGCAACAAAACACTTGATGATCGACTTTGACACCTTATCATCAGAAGGTATAAAACGAGAGTCTCCATTCTTTCCACTTTCCATCTGTTGTTTTGTTTTGCTGTTCTAAATTGCTACTGCAAAAAGATGATGATGAATTCCTTCGCAAAGTCTTTGCTCCTGTACTCGTTGGCTCTCTTTGGCCTGGCCTATGGCGCCGATCACCTCACCTTTAAGGACTGCGGTAAGTGTACTCTTTGTTGTTTTAAGTTTTTGATGATCACTGCAAACCTCTCTCTTCACAGGCGGCTCTCTAATGACCTTCAAGAAGCTGGACATTGAACCGCTGCCGCTCGTCATCAGCGCCACCGGCAAGATCTTCCTCACCTCGGACGTCGCCCTGAACGCCGACCTGCCCGCCGATGCTGAGGTCACCCTGGAAATGAACAAGACAGTCACATTTGGGAGCAAGAAGTTCCAGCTGACCATTCCCTGCGTCGACGGCATCGGCAGCTGCACGGTGAAGGTCTGCGACGTCTTCAAGCTCTGGTACAATGACATCCTCTGTCCGCTGATCAAGGGCGGCGGTCACGGCTGCAGCTGTCCCATCAAGGTAAATTGCCGGCTGTGGGAGAACTTTTTTTTGTACAAGTTCGAAAACACTAACTGAATCCGTCTTCTTTCTTCCTTTTACCCCCACAGGGAGGCAACTTTCTCAACCAGCGCACTGAGGTGAAGGCGCCGCTGAGCAAGCTGCGCAACCTGGCCTCGGCCATCGCCGACGGCGACTACTCCTTCCGCATCAGCGTGGCCGATCCAGCCAAGAGCAAGCTCTTTGGCTGCCTGGAGATGCAGATGAAGATTAAGGTTGAAAAATGAGATAACTGAGAGAATGTTCTAAAATACTAAACAAATAAACACACCCTGTTTTCGAACTGTCTGACTTGCACTTAAAAGCGCCCTCTTTTACCTTGTTAAACGTTCTCGATGTACCAAATTCTCGACCAGGGGAAGAACTTCTTTGAGCCGCAGCAGCCGCGGCGGCCGGTCCGCGAGCACGTGCCCCTCTGGCTGCGCTGGGCGTTGATCTTCTTCATACTGACGAACATTGGCTCCTTCATCGCCACCACCGTCATCACGGTGATGAACATTGATGGCATCATCGAGAAGTTGGTTTCGAAGGGCCAGCTCAGCCACGAAGACCTGCGGAGGGTCAAGGTAATGATCGGTGATGATCTTTTGATGGTCTTTGTTTTGTTTTGTTTAGGTTTTTTGCCGACTATTTACACCTTATCATCCTAGCAACATGAAGCCCGGCGGGCGCAGCTGATGGTGGCCACCACCGTGGAGGTGCTCATGGACGTCGTCGACCTCTTCAACGTCTTCTTCGGCAGCTACGCCGCCCACGTCGTCTACCTCGCCATGAAGATCCTCAGCGTCGGCCTGTGGACTTACACGCAGACGGCGGTGGGCGAGTCCGCTCTGTGGATCATCCCCATCGGCCTGGCAATTTTGGTGGCGGTCGTCCTGCTGGAGTGGTTCGCTCAGCTTCGAAAGTGCGCCCTCGTGGCGCTGATTCTGGTCGGCTCAGTGGCCTGGATCGCCGTGGTCACCCTGCGGCTGCAGCAGATCAGCCACGAGATNACGGCGGACGGGCGGAAGGCGAAGGCGCGCCTGGAGGCGAAGATCAGCGACTGGGTAGGAGGCTTCTTGAGTTGACTATTTCCTCCAGGTTTTGCAAACACATTCTACCTACCTTTCTCCTGTANCGGAAGACGAAGGCACGGCTGGAGGAGAAGATCAGCGACTGGGTAGGAGGCTTCTTGAGTTGACTATTTCCTCCAGGTTTTGCAAACACATTGCTACCTTTCTCCTTCTTTCTCCTCTCTACAGCAGACCAGCCAACAGGAAATGGTGATCTACTCGGCGGCGATGCTCCTCTTCGGCACGCTCTCCCTCGTCGTCCTCTTCTGCCTGGCGGACTGCCTCTGTCTGGGCTTCACCGTGGCCTCCATGCAGCTGGTGGGCGTGTTGGCGTGGGTGGGCAAACTCCTCCTCACCGACCACGAGCCGCTGGACTTCTACTTCAGCGTGCCGCTCGCCTACTCCGTCCTCAGCTGTCTGGTGCTCTTCGGTCACCTCGGCCATGCGGTGGTGTTTGGCAAGGGAACAACCACTGATGAGCAACTACTGTCGGGGGAGAACCCAAACAGGACGGAGAAGACCGCCGCCGCTGGAGGAGGCGTGAAAACGAGGACCAAAGACAAGGACAAAGGTAAGGACAAAGGAGGCAACAAGAAGAAGGAGAAGGCGGCGGCGGCAAAGCCAAAAGGGGCAGCTAAGAAGAGGCAGCAACACTAACACGATGACATTTCGAACGATTAAACCAAGCACTGAATGGGATTTGGTTTTGCTTTCACGAGAAGTCGAATACGATTTGTCAGCTGTGAGTAACTCGAGACACTCTAGATGGCACTTGATTGTCCGGAATCGGATTCTGTGTGTCCGAATTCGACTAAGAGAACCAGCAAAAATTGCTTAACCATTTCAGTACTTTTTTCCCTCTTATATTTAACCAGCCCACTTCCTTCCTTCAGTTTAAACTTTTTTTGCTTTCAGAAATCAAAACTTGAAACGACGTCAAAACTCAGAGCTCCTCACTTCTCTCTCACTTGACTTTAAAAATCAGCAAGTAAGAAGGAAAAAATCCGCTTCCTAATCAAATAAACTTTCTCTTTTGCTTTTGCCCCTTTCGGGCCCCTCTGGCCAGGCCTGGCCTGTCTGTCAACATTCTTTGTGCTTGAGCTGGTGTGTTTATTCAACCTATTGACCCTGCGGATGTGTTCGACTGAAGAAGAAGAAGAAGTAGTAGAAGGTACACACAACAACTGCCACTGAGAAGAGAGAAACCCCCAAAGTGAGCTAAGCTGTGGCCACCGACGCCGATTGAGTACTCGGAACACACACACACACGTAGACAAGCATGAAAACACTGCTGTTCACATGTGTGTCGGTCGGTCGGTCTGTTCCCAATTGGCAAACTGAGATGAGAGAGAGAAGTGAACTCTGGCTTTGAATATTCTCTCTCAGTGAGAGAAGTTAGCGGCGGCGGCGGCGGCAGCACGTTTCAAGCCAGTTGGCCCGCATATTCGGCGGCGACGGCGGCCATTGACGTCAGCACTGACACAGTTCCCTCCATTTGGTGGAAGGGAATGAGAGATGCTAGCCTTCCTTGGTAATGGCTCTCTCTCTCTCTCTCTCTCTCTCATTCCTTCGACGTCGGTCCTTCCCTGGACTTGCCTCCATGTGCTCTCTTTCTCTCTCCATTTGCGAGTTCTTTGCTGGCCATTGTTTCAATTGCCTGCAATCGAGAGACTGCTGCTTCTGCTGCTGCTGCTGGTGCTGGACAGACTAAAGCAGGAAATTCTTTTCCTCTTCCCTTTCTCTGGGTTTAATAAACTCGCTGCTGCTGCTGCTGCTATGATCTCTCTAGTGCAGTGTGTCTGTGTGTCACCAAAATAGATTCGCAGAATAAAGTAGGAAGGGGGAAAGACAGTAGCAGAGAGGGGAGTTCAACTTTGTGATGCTAACCTTCCAAAGTGCCCAGAGAGAGTACTATTGCCCATGTTCGTTGGCGGCAGCAGCTCGTTCGTTTTTTCGCTCCTCGTCGGCTGGTCATGTTCGGCCAACATGTACAACTGATGCCGCCGTTGCTGCTGCTAATCGAATTAGTCGCACGAAGTGCGCTTCTATTTGCTGCTGCCTTCCTCCTTTGCAGACTTGCTGGCTTTCCTTCTACTTCTTCTTCCTTGAGGCGCCTTTCATCGCCTCTTTAGCCACTGCTGCTGCTGCGGCTGCGGCTGCCGTTGAGTTATGAGCTGAAATGGAGCTCTGCTCAGCTATTCTATTCTCGGTGAACAAAACTAAAGAGAGAGAGAAAAGGAGAATTTGCTGTCGTTTCCGTTTTTCGGATTCTCTCTCTCTCTCTCTCTCTCTCTCTCTCTCTCTCTCTCTCTCTCTCTCTGTTTTGTAGTCCAGTTATGTTTTGTTGTCTGTGTGTTGTCCTTGCACTGTCTGCCTGACTGTGTGTGTGTGTGCACTAGCCAAATTGCTTGCGACCCCAGCAGATTCTTTCCTCCTCCTCCTCTTCTTCTTCTTTGTATTATTTAGTTTTCTTCTTTCCTTCTTTAGCAGTCAGCTTGACCTGACTCTGAAGTCTCTGCACTGTTTGTTGTCTTCCCTGCCCGCCTTTTCTTTCCTTATTCTTCCTTCTTTCTTTCTATTTCTAAAAGTAATGAGGAAGAAGAAGCGGAATTGTGTTCAGCAGCAGCAGCAGTTCCCGGTCATTTGCGGCGACGAGCCCTCTCTTTCTCGATTCGCTCATTCGCTCACTCACTTTGCCCCCTCCTCTTCCGTCGAACGCAAATTGTCGGTTTCTGTCTGAAGCTGTCAATCAAAGCAGGGAGAGAATAGATAGAAAAGAAAAGAGGAGGGTTGCGCAATTGCGGTAGTATTAAAAGAGGATTCAAAGACTTGCTCTTTTCTCTCTTGCACTTTTTGCAGTGTTCCACTAAGCCGTTTCATCCACGATCCCTTTCTTCCTTTCCTTTCTTCTCCAGTTTCACAGTTTCTGCTTTCTACTTTCTACTTTTTCTTTTCTTCTTCTTTTCATCCCTTCTCCATTGCCATTACTCACAGCCTGGTGTCTTTGATGGCGGTGGTTGTACGTCAGCAAAGAGAGAGAGAGAGGAGGCACTGTCACAGACACATAGACACACAAATTGGGGCCACTTAGTGGGTAAGGGGGCAGAAAGAAGGAATGAACACAAAAGCAAAAATAGAAAGAGAGTTTTGAGCAGCTTCTTTTCTTTTCCCCTCTATTTTTTGTTAGTGTTTTTGCCTCTTTTTCTGGTTTCT